ACCCCGGACCGGTCTCGACCATGCGATTTGATCATATCAGCATGTAATTCTGCACGTTTAACAATTATTCCCCGACAATTGTCTCACTACGACTCCATCTTCGGTGTTCGCCAAAACAATAGAACGTTTCTAGGCCTCGGGATGTTTTTTTTTTTGTTTGAGTCCACGAAATGTCCAACGGCGATTGACACGCTGCGCGGAACGGTGCCGGGGGTGGGGGGAGTGGCGTCTGGATCGATAGGCGACAAGCGAGTTTTTGTTTCGCTTTCGGATTTTGCATCTGAAAGAATGAAAGCGACGGGACGTGTTTAGTGCTGTTTTATTATTCTAGCTCTGGTTTGACTGGGCTGAGGCTGATGGTGGATACGGTCTCACGAATTATTGATTCCTTTTGATGGATATGCTTAAGAAATGGCCGTCGTAGCGCCACTGTCTGAGCTCGCACGCACGCATCTCAATTCCATGTGTTACATTCACCGTTGGAAAGCAATTAAAAAAAGAATGCGTGTCTCGGGATAAATCCAACGCCTCAAACGACAATGTCTCGAATTGACAACAACGTCGCTTACAGCTTCAATTCTTCGCCACGGCATCAACGGGGACAGCTTTTCGTTTGACAAACGGCGAGCCAGAAATGATTGACGTGCGAGTCATGATTGGGCGGCACGGACGAGTCTGACAGCTGTGAGACAGGGATCAGTGCTGTTCTGGACCTTCTGGAAATTCCGAGGTGCAGCGGGTAAGGAATTCTGACAGCTTCTTCACTCAATTGCGTCAAACCCAGAAGTATCTTTAATTCGGTAGATGCTATACCACAACGTGTCAACAAAAACTGCCTGTTGATATAGCCCAACTGTTCGTTGTTGGTTGAGAAAATGCAGGTAATCGGCACAGCGGAAATCTTCAACAGCCTCGCTTGTACCTCTACGCACAGGGCACTCGTTGGCTCTGGTAGCAGCCATTCAAGCCTAGAGCAGCGCCAACAGCGTCGATCAAAAACGGACGGATGAGGGTAGGAGGGGCAGGCATTTCAGCCGCTGGGAATAAACGGAATTCGTTTGCATGCGTGCGTGCGTGCGCATGCTGTCAGTAGCCGCTGAGCTTGAGTGTTTGACTTGACTCAAAATTAAATAAATAGGGTTAATTGAGATGTCGATGAAGGAGATGCTGTTTATGGCAAACGTTTGTGAAAATCGCATTCCCATGTTTACAGGGGGGGGCGTCACCGAGGTGAGGGAGGAGAGGCTTCAGTGGACGGAAGACGGAGTGCGATGGCCCCCGAGAAACGAGCGAGAAAACGACCCATGATGGTATCAAAAGTGGTCAAATCAAGTTGCCCATCCTCTGAATCCCATCCCTTGGCCCATGTGCAGTCTTCCGTGTCCTGTTTGTCTCTGTCTCTGTCTGTTCCCGGCTCAGTTATCCTTAGCTTAGCTTAGCTTAGGTAGCTACAGTGCCCACCCCCTGGACAGGACAGGGCAGAGCCTTAGTGCTACACCCCCGCCAAGCTCGGCAGCCCCCGCCGCTCGACCAACGGGTCGTATGACGCGGAACAGACTCGTCGGGCGCTGTCGCTCTGTGCTTGTGCTAGCAGCAATTGAGGCAGCGTAGGGTTCTTTTTTATTTTCATTTGTTCTTGGTTCCACGGTCTATATATCGCTTGCCCCGTCTGACCATTCTCTGTTTCTGGAAGCCATGCCTAGCCATCGATATCTGAATATCACAACATAACATAACATCAGAGTCCTCTCACACCACGCACGACTCTCTCTGTCTCTCTACACTACAGCATCTCACCATTTGGCACCCCCTACCAAGACATATCCACACGCCCCGAGCTACAATCCATACATTAGCACAATATCACCACCTCAGCACCTTCAAGCACCACCATCAGTCAACCATCGACTCTGCAAAACCTCACAATGGCCGACATATCATTCGACTACTTTGACCATCCCCAGAACAAACAGGTATGTTTTGTCGGTCCTTTTTACCCTACAGCACGACAAACCTTACCTCACAATAAACCCTGGCCCCAAAAAGAACAAGAACCCTGGTCTGGGGCATTCTGCTTCGTTTATATGGCACATGTTTCCCCTCCCTCGTCTGTCCCCTCACCTCATCTCAGCCCACTCTGCCCAATTCAGTCAACAACATCTACAAGTCCCATCTATCAAGCACTCAATCTCATCTCTATATCAAGACTCTCTCACCACAACTCACCCCATTTACTCTCTTACTCTACCATCTCATACAACAAGTCCATTGACTGACTCTAACCCTCACCTCAGCATCTTGTTCCTACATCCTTCTACGACCCTGCAGACTTCAGCGGTGATTCGGCCCATTCTCCCGACTCACCACTCTCGCCCGTCTTCAACAACCCTTATCAGCTCCCCGTCTCCAACGACTGGGTCAACTGGGACGACAAGGCTACGCTATCACCTGACCTCGACGCCCTCCCCAAGCAAGAGCCCTTTGAAGGCATCAACCTCTCTACCATCCCATCACGGAACAGCATGGAGCTCAGCCCCGCCATCAACCCACACGACCTCTCTGGCACCATCCCCGATGCCGTCCCCTTCGGCAGAGTAGGCCTGAATGACATCGACACTCAGCCTCTCTTCCAGACTCCCATCCCCTCCATCTCTTCTCAACCTCCTCATCTTCAGTCCAACATCATGCACTCTGCCTCCAACCCTTCTCAGATGTCCTCCTCTCTCGACAGCATCAACTCCAAGGATGCCAACGGTCGATATCCCTCCCGCAAGCGCAAGTCCTCCGGCTCCGGAAGCTCTTCATCCCGCTCGTCTACCTCTCCTCCTCCCGCGACGCGCCGCCACTGCTCTCCTCCCAAGAAGACAGCTCACAACATGATCGAGAAGCGATACCGCACCAACCTGAACGACAAGATCGCCGCCCTTCGCGACTCGGTGCCCGCTCTGCGCGTCATGGTCCACCGTCTCGAGCAGCCATGCGCCGAGAACATGGAAGAGGACGCCGACGAGGATCTCGGCGGTCTCGCACCAGCACACAAGCTCAACAAGGCCACCATCCTCAGCAAAGCGACCGAGTACATCGCGCATCTCGAGAAGAAGAACAAGAGCCTCGCCCGGGAGAACAGCCAGCTACGGAATCGCGTTGAGGGCTTCGAGATGATCGTCATGTCGCGAGATCAGGGACCCCCAGCAGGAGTCTGGGCATAGAAAGCGAAGATGATATAGAATTGGGTACTTTACCTTTTGCTTTGTTGCGATATTATTGTTTGGATCGGCACAACTGGAAACGCAACGCTTCGAGCTTGTGTGATGAATCATGATATCAGGCGTTTACTTGTGGCGTTCAAGATATGGGTTGGGCAAGGCATTGTGTTACTTTGGCGCATTGAACGGACATTTTGCCTTCAGATGGGTTTCTACATAAAACGCAGGAATGGTTCCTGGATAGTATAAACAATCTCCAATACATCTAATGTCCTCTTGAATATTGTTCTCTTTCAGTGACACTTTGCGACTTATGCCTCTGATTGACTTCTACTCACGATGGTGTTCAACACTTCACATGCGTTTGAGCCTCACCTTCGCTTGCTAGCCTCGTGGAACCGTCAATGCAGGGACTTTAACGAGGGCCAGGGCGTATATGAGATGAACACGTGCATGTCAGCTGAGTGTGACATCGGTAGATGGAGAGTGAGAAACTGACGTGGTGTGATGTTGGGTCAGACCACGATGGGTCGGTGGCTCAGATGGTTTGGTGGCTGATGAGGAATAGAAACGGGTGATGATGGTGAGAAGAATAGCGGTGGATAAAGTGTTGTTGAGAGGAGTGAGATGGAATGAGGTGGTATTCCCGACAATTGATCATTATGCAAGGCCTCGGCCGTAGTGCGGCATTCGCGGCGGCTCAATCAAGGTGTCGGAACAATGTGAATTGCCCGAATCGACAACCTCATCTTCCTGGCCCACTACGACCATGGAGTTGGAAATAAAAATAGCGTGCTCCTGTCAAAGCCAATTAAGTTGCAGCATCTGTGCCCTCATTCACGCATTGTGAATTGTGACTGCTTTAGCTTTCTAACGGTGATGATTGTTTGGACTATGACCGCCTTTTGTCGCTTCCGCAGACAGTCTCAGCTGGAAACGCGATGGCTACCTCAGGTATGACTGCAGAAACGGCAGATATGCTACTAGTGATGCGCTCAACTATAGACGCGTGGGGGTATCCAAGAGAATTCGTCGTTCTAAGCCATCAAAGCCTCCAAGGCATCAATGCATATGTAGGTATCTCAAGGTAAAGCTTCCCCGCCTCGGGATCTACACCGATGCCACTTTTACCCACCAATTCCATGCAATTCAGAACGATCGCTTCGAGTCAAACAAATGGGATTGCTATTTTCTTTTCTCATAATCATGTTTATGCCATGCACGCCCATGCTCGGACAATACCTTATGCCCGGATAGCCTACCAACGCCTAGTCTACCCCGCCTATGTCAACAGTCAGTCAGTTGGGTCTACGTCCCGTTTGCCCAGCTCGATGCTGTTGGTCCGCCCGAGGAAGTCAGAGATTTTGCAAAAAGAACATGCATGTCCCTGAGATGAGCAAGGATATACGCCGTAGGACTTGGTGGGACAAATTTGACGATATCTTCTGTGTTGAGGCCTACATGCCTACATGAAGCGTACTGCAAGATCCTTGTCCTTCCTTGAGCTGACATAAAGTAGTGAGCTGTCTGTCTGACTTCAAGCATGCTGATTGGTATATAGGTAGTATTTTCAAGAGGGGCAGCTTATGCATAGCTACTCTGCCCCTCACTTAGCATGACGAGTCAAATGCATGGCGGATCGAGTATATAACAGCAGCGCCCAACTGTTGCCAGCCCTCTCAAGACTCTGTCTTGTATTTATTCTAATCTTCGCGTCATCTTCGACGACCTAGATATCTCAAACCCTCTTCTCCTACCTTGTCCACATCTTCATCAGAAACATTGCTGTAGAAAATGGAGGTAAGACACAGTACCGCCATTCCCAAGGTTGGAACGAGTACTAATTTGTGCTTAGGGGACACAGAACATCCCGTACGTCGAAATAGTCCTCATACGACATGCTGAGGCTATATCGAACGTACTGACCGACGAGGACGGAATTGGTGGTTGCGAGCTCACAATGTCCCAGCTTCAAGCAGTATCCAAGCAGTTAAGCCAGAACACAGAACCAGACCTCAAGGTGAAGTGTGGTGATTTCCTTCCGGATGGCCTTACACAATTCGGAATGTCTCAAGTCAGGGACTTCGTTCAACTCGCCATCAAAGAAGGACGAATTCCTAATGTGTACTATGTCGCGTGCTCCTTGCTATCAAGAGCAATCCAGACAGCACAGCTCTTGAAGGACGGCCTAGATATGGTGGATGATGGGGGCATATTCTGTCATCCAGGACTCAACGAGCTTACTGGATGGCCTCAGGATCACGAAGCTTGGACTGACGACAAGGGGCACCGAAGGTATATTCTGCTTGCTGGCGGCAAAACTGACCCCGGAAAGATTGTCAAAGAGGAGACCATCAATACAGCTGGATGTACATTGTTCGACGGGTCCTCCTTAGGCCGGCCTTCACCTCCTCCCCTCGAAGCCCCTTCAAAGGAGGCTATCAAGGAACAGGTGCAGGATGCCCGCCAGTGGCTGGAAGAGCTAGCAGCTCAGGCCCTAAAGAAGCATCAAGAAGCCCAGCGACCTGGCCCAGCAAGAATCGTGGTCATCACGCATGGTGGCTATCAGCAGGTCTTGACTGAAAATAGGTACTGCAACTATACAGCGAGTCCTGGCGGGCTGAAATTCGCTGGGACATCTTCACAGCGGAATCTGGACGTCAATCTCTATAGGTTCGATGAGCACCGACTTGTGGAGCTCCCTTATGATGAGGAGATTAGCCGACTCTTTGGGAAACACTACCGTTGCATGGAGAGAGAGAAGATGACGCGCGAATGGCCCAAGAATGAAGTCCAAGAAGCCGACCATATGGATTTCATCCGCAGCTCCTTTGAGGAAACTGCGAATCTGGATAAAGAAGTAGTTGACAGTGTTTTCTCCTGGGTTGGGGTTGATCATTTCTTGACATCTATCGCGGGCAAGAAGCCTTGAGTCCACAGGCCGACCTCAGTATGAAGCTGGGGGCGATCAGGTGGTTAGGACTAGGAAGTCTACAAAATTTGGAGAGGTTATATCGGGAGACAAAAAGCATCGTGTTTTCTTTCATTACTTGTATTCGCAGCCTAGAGCTCAACCTTATAGGCGGCAGCCAACTCCATAGTTGCGCAACAAAGCTGGTCAAAGGCCACCTTTCTCTAGTTCTGGGATTTAGTCCTCCGCAAACCACGGATCACATATAATATCCTTGATTGTAGGTCTTTTAGAAGGATCGTACTGAAGAATCCGACGAATCAGTCTCTTGGCCTTCTCTGCCTCCTCATCAGTCAAGTCCGGGGTTGTCAAGTCGAAGGCTTCCTCCATAGAAGTCTGCTCTAGCATAAGCGGCTCTTCGCCCTCGCCGACGCCACCAAGCTGACAATTATAAAGCTTTCTGTCCTTTGTATAGTACCGTGAAGCGGTTTCCCAGCGGCTGTATAGCTCATCGGGAAGTGGGCCAAGCTTCGCCTGGAGCTCGAGAATATGGTTATCATCTTCTTCTGTCCTGTCGTTGTATGCAGGAATGCAGAAGAGAGGTTGTCCGGTGACGAGTTCAAAAACAAGACAGCCAAAACTCCATATGTCGAGAGACTTGTTCACCTCTCCCTTGAGAACAAGCTCCGGCGCTCGTAGGCCAAGCGGCGTGATGGGTTTCTTGGGAGGGTCATTTAGAAAGTAGGCTGCTCGTTGTAAGTCACATCTTCAAGTAGAAACGGATCTGGAGGGGCTTACCACCACCCATATCAGATAGCTTAACCCGGAGGTCCTCGGAAACGCTCGCGTAAGGTGCTAATGGTTGAGCAACGCAGAGATACCGCGGTGCCCATTTGTCCTGCTTGCCATCAAGTCTCTCTACAGGAGGAGAGATTGACTCTGTCTGGACGTTTTCTTCCTGGCGGAGGGATGCTTCATCAAGGGAATCGAAAGACTGGAGTGAGAATAGAATATTGCCGGGCTGGAAATCTCCATGTGCAACACCATTCTCATGAAGGAATGCCAACCCCTGCAAAGATTGCAGGAGGATGCGTTTCGCTAGCTGGGGAGGATAGCGAATCTTCATCCCATACTTACGTGGTTTGAACTGGGGCAGTTCGTATACCATAGAGTTGACAGATGGACCCATGGGCTCAAAAACAAGGCACTTATGGATGCCGTTTGGGCCTTTGTGCTCAAAGTCTGTAAGAAGTTGAGTAACATGCCTAATCCCATCCTGGGGGGCAACCTTGGCAAGATGGTGCAAGACATGCAACTCGTGGCTTGTCTCTTCTGTATTCTCTGAGATAAGAATCTTGAGAGCAACGTAGCGAGAGTTTCTAAGAATATTATAAGCTAGTGACTGAAATACGGGCTAGTATTAATTGCTAACGTTAGATCATGTGCAAGCCAGACAGTTGAGTAAGCACCCTCCCCAAGCTTGCGGATCACCTTGAACTGGCCATCATTGAACAAATCACCGAGGTGTACGGGATGAAAGCCGCCTGGACGGTAGTCCTCTATCCATTCACAAGGCGACGTAATATCCTTAAATCGCCGCTCTTGGTCACCTGGAGCCCTTGAAGGCGGGGTTGGTGGAGGTGAAGAGCTCATTGCTGCAACAAAGACGTGTTGTTTGTAGCGGTCGGGTTTCAGTGCAAGAAGAAGAGAGAGTTGTGCAGAAGTAGAAGAGCGAAGGGGACGTTTGAGCGATTTTCCAAGGATCATCGGAGGTTGGAAGTTGGAAGTTGATAAATGAAGCGTAGGACTTTGGCACTGATGAGGGATGCAATCAAAGCCCTTTTGTTGCATGACTAAGGTGCCGTCACGTAATTGGTCCATTCAGCGCCCACCATTCCCCCCTCAACCATGCCACCAGACTGACAGAACCAACAGCTTTACAGCTCTCGACCCGTCAAAAGCGTTGTATTCGCGCCCGCAACTTCACTTGAACTCTAAAATTTCCTTGCGCAGCTCCTACAGAAACACCATTGGATGTTCGCGAGAGTGGTGGATATAGTGCAATGATGCCGCGCGACTACAGCACATCGTATGCAGCAACATCACCAACGCAATTCAACAAGATATGTCCATTGGTTATCACTCGTCGCTCCATGGGGCGCAGCCTCATTTTGACCAGGGACAATATTTCAAGTGAATTACTCGGCAGCTTCCAAAGCCGGTAAGGATCAGTCTCTCGTAATATCAACGGAGAGCTATAAATCATGGACGTTGGCCTTCGCAGTGTGTCTTTTCAGAACATCATCTTACTCTGTAAGTCTTTCCTTGACTTGGTCCCATCCTCTATCACAACTATCCTCCACACGTACCTACGCCTCGCGAGTCTTACTCCTACCCGAAATGGACGCCACCAATGTAGAGTTTGACCCAACAACGTTGTATTCCAACAAGCCCGCCGAGAAAGCCAACATCGTCAACTTAGTTGTTGCAAGGGCCCCCCCGGGAGCTGCACGCGCTGTTGTTGTGTAAGTTGAGACTATAGCCATCAGCTTTCAGTTAATAACAAATCTTGTTTCAAGCAATGGTTGGCACACCAGTAGAAGTGACAGGCGCAATCATTGTACCGTGGACTTCTTCGATGCTGCCAATAACCCGATGGGGCGGAGACATGTTGTCATTTAGTCATTAAAACAGTTGGATACATTGTCAAGGAACAGCATGACGTGCGAGCCTTGCACCTGACAGATCTAAGGATAGATATTCAATAAACACATACTATCGATACTTGGAGACATAACCAGTCTATATAGGGGCGTTTCGCCTACACCAAAAAGTACGGAGAACAAATGTACGAGGCCATAAGGATCACAGAAACCAACTCGATTTTCCACGCTGAGTTCAAAAAACTATTTGCTACCATATAAGAGAGATGACGACACGCAAAGGCGCGGGGGCAGTGCCTGGCCTCAATGGAAACACTGTCATTGTCCTTATCTGGCGGCACTAGATGAGGTTTCCAAAACCCAAAGTCAGCCATAGGTGAGAATGCTTTTTCTTTGGTTGCACTCTTGCTGATGCTCAGAAGACATATAGGCGGGGTTAAAGATAGCATGTCCTCGCATCTTGATTGCCTGCGTTGAGAATATCCCGTCAGACGCCCGTGTCAATTTATATGCATTCTTTTACTAACTGCATGGTTTCTAGACCATCTGAAACCTATAGCGATATCAGCATATTTGACTCTGAGAAGTACAACAGTGAATCAATAGTTCAGAGCAACAGACGGAACCTAGAACATGATGGCTGGGATTGTACAAAGATTCCTGGCTCTGAGCTATGGCCGCCCAGTTTAGAGTAATGGGCCAATTGTAGTCTTCAGAAAGCACGATTTCCATCCAAATCAAGTACAAGACTGAAGCTCAAAATGAAGGCATTGAGTGTAGCGTCCCGTCGTCAAATCAACAACCGGCAACTGCCAGCCAGCCCTTTGAAGCGACTCCAGGGTTCGCAAAGCCACTGCGAGTCCTTTTGCCATGGAGATCAGTTCAATCAGTGCGATCAATGCATTAGCTGGTACCGGCCTCGAGGCACCTACGAGCAACGACGATAATGGCCGTCACTCGACAACGGCACAGAGACAAGAGAAGTCTCCCAGTCATAAAGAGAAATGGAATCTGTATGACGAACCAAGCGATATACACCTGCCAAGAGAGTCTTGCTAAATCAGCGGGAGTGCATCGCGTTTGGTGAACACGACATAGCTATCGGTGTTGGGACACAAGAGCATTGGGAATGGCGACACAGCCTGGATAAATCGGCAGTACAGAGGAAAGATCCAAGTATCAATGGGAATAGGCCCTTACCAGTAATAATCCGTGTCTAATTGAAGCTGTCCTGTTGGGTCAATCCCGTCTGCCCATCAACAGTCCGAAGAGCTGCACTTCGCGTTCATAACGCAGCTGGAGAATGCCTTTGAGAGACTCTGTTGAAGATCTATTGATACAAGCTCATTCAAATGATCTTTCGACAGTGGCACCTAATCACATGGGGAGGAATCGCGTCGGGTTGGCTCAATCGCGACGCAGCTCTTCATGCCCAGACACGAAGGCACCATCACAAACCCGCAGATCGTAAGTTCTATAGATACTACTACCCTCATCTCGATCTCCAACATGTTTTCTCGCAGCGAGCCTATTTTTGAGGCTATAACTAGCTTGTTGCGCTTGTTATCGCCGAGTTACACTCCAGCCTGCGACCGCTGCACCCGTCCACAACCCAAATGCCAAAATCACGAAATCGCAAACTTCCGAAATAACACAATAAAATAGCACGACCTGAATCGCCCAAGTCTCAAATTTCCTTGAATGCTAATATCAGATCTATAGAAGCATCATTGCCGTCAATATCGCTGAATAGCAAGTCGACATTGTGCGACTTGCCTACCCTGTTGTTCGCTGCGCTATCAATCGCCTCAGCCAGCAGAAGGACGTGTCGCAGAGCCACAAACCACGGAATTGGTGAAGAATTAGAACGCTATGAGAATCGCTGAAGCTTCTTGAATCGGTAGGACTGTCTAATCCATTCAGATTTGTCCTGAGACCGCCAACAACGATGAGGTTCAAGTTGACAGTCTCGTGTCCGACGGTCAGGAATCAAGGACGCGTCGCAAAGTCACAAATAACAGAAACAATACGATATAATCATGCAGTTTCCGTATCCAGGTCTCGTTAGTCCAGAAAAGGAATTGATTGGAACCATAAACATGCTTTTGTTGCCGCAATTGCTGAGTTGCGACTGAGCAATCGACACGAGTTGTTCAGCCGCAGGACCAGACGCACATGTCGCGAACTCCCAAATGGCAGATATTGTAGGAACCGATAGCAATAGCTTTTCAAATAGAGTTAACAATTGTATAAAAGAACTTTGTTTGAGTTAGAAAGGCATTGGTGCCGCCACTATCGTAGAGTTACGCGCCCGCAGACGGTGAGAATCGACTTGGCGGACGTTGTCGTAGAGCCTTG